TGGAATTAAGTGAAGGGAAAAAAAATCCTTCCAAATCATGGCGAATGGTGGACTTCAAACGCTATCCATCAGATGGTGTTTTTCGCGTTTGCAATGTATAATTCAATCAAATCAAGATCGTCTAGGTTACATATGTATGAGCTCTCCACTTCATTGCGTTTTTTCATGCATCACATTGTAAATACGCATCTCGCTTTTTCGTTGTTTTCTACTGAAAATTCCTTTTTTTTCTCCTGTTTTCCATAGTTCCACAGCCATAGCTTTTGCCAGTAATTTGGCAGTAAAGAATCCTAGGATTGTTTTGATTTTTAGTCAAGAATTACGAATTAAATTAAAAACGCATTGAGTCCAAGTGTCTTTTAAGGAAGAGCAGACACTCTTATTTAATTCTAATTTGGCCGTCTGATACGCGTATGTAATTATAAGGCGGTCGTGGTATTCAAGACATCCTATAGACCGTTCACCGAATTATTTCGCTTTGTCACGAAGAACCTTGCAATTCATTTGCTTTATTTGTCGGTAAAATGAGTTAATTCCTTTAGCCTCTTTTTTTGTGAGTTCCGCGCCTAGCTTGCGATATTCGGTTTCACTAACCTCAGAATTCAAGAAAAAACTTAATATTGCATTCTTTCGTTTAGAGAGAAAGTAGACAAAATCGATTTAAAACTATATTAGACATTGATATGCTAGCTGTGAATTATGTCATTACCAAACTTGTTTTTATAGATTTCGCAGACAGTTACATTCTTTGAGTCTCAAAGGGCAGCATCACACTCTTACAAACACGGCCTTACTTCTGGCATGAATGAATAAAACTAAAACAATGTTTTGAATATCTGTCTTAAAAAGCTCTCGCGGTAGTTTGATTAGTTTAAGACACAATTCGAAACTTTATCGACATTGGCATCACACCCTTAACGAATCATCTGTTGTAAATCCGTCCGGCGAGATCGAGTGCTTTTCTCACGCAGGAAAAGATTACTGTACTTAACAAGTGTTTTAAAACAGTTTATGCTCACGGTAATTCCGCCAAAAACGCAACCCTTAAAGGTATTAGGCGTATGTAGTTGCATTCAATATTGTTTTTGTCCTTCTCGGGGCGACATGAAGAGGCTAATACCCGTGTAAAGAGGTTGGGTCTTTATCTTTCAAACCAGCTTGTCCCATGTGCTGTCTGAACTGCTTTTTTTGAGAAGTCTCGCTTGATGAAACAAACGCTATTGGATTTCAGGATATCGACACATTTTGTCTGTATTTCAACCCTTCTCGTTAACCAGAGGTCACTCAATATATTGAAAATTCCATCGTGGCTAATTAAGACGTTTAAAAAGATACTCGAAGGCTCTCAATTTTGTGACCCTTTGCGCGGCTACGTCTAAAATCTAAACATATTTTAGTTGGCAAGCTCTTCCCACCAGTGAAACATGTCCTCATCAAACTCTTAACCGAAAAAAAAAGGTATATAGAATTAATTCTACCAAATTGGGCCAAGAGGCTTTGCAGTCATTAAAAAAGAAAACCTCTGAAATAATTTTTTTTCGCTCACGACAATTTGGACGATAAACATTTTTATTGGAAAAAAAAACGTCAAATTGGGAGCATACCATAGAAAATGCTGGGTTTCGTGGCAAAAAGGAAAAGGAAAGCTCCTTTAAACCGAGACAATGTAAACTGATTTCCTCAATATCAGAAATGTTAAATCATAATCACTGACCCCGTTTTCGTTGTCTATACACCCCCAGATGGGTATTATAATTCGTTTTCTTTGGCTCTTTTTCCATCGCTTTACTTAACCCCGAACCAGGCATTTTAAGTTATCATCTATGCTTTGTCAAAAGAGGCCCGCCGTACAAATCGAATTTGGAATAATTTGGAACAAGTCTACGTTTTGAACAATGATCGTGAAACACCAATGGGTCTTGAAAGGAGTTCTGTGATGCATTCTGAGCACTTTGAGGGATATTTAGTCTTAGAACTTTTAGTAAATCAGCGATGAGAATTACTTGGCAATATCAGTGTATTTTGTATTACCGCAAGTTGCAGGCGACCTTGAACACCTTTAATGTGGAAGCTGTTCACTGGAAACCTTCCTCCCCAGGCCTTTTTATGCGCACATAAATAGTTTGAGGAGATTATCAGTTTATATTCTCTTGAAAAATTTCCAAGTGTTCTTGTCAAGGGAACGTATTATTTGTCTAATTTTATTTTCAAAATGTTTTTCCTAAATTTATTTATAAATTTTTATCTGTGCGCCTGAAGAAAAAAACATACATTTCTATTAAATAAAATACTCGTGACTTTAAAGGATTACTCAAAACTACTTAGGTTACTCGAAGAAAAAAAAAATATAAGATCATTGACATTATTAATTGATGGAATTTTTTTAAGTACAATGACCGACAAAATTACGAGCAGTGTGTGGTAAATTTTCAAATGCCGGAAAACGAATGGCACGCGAGCTTTCAGCTTATCTCGTTGCTGAGTAGATACGAATTTTATGGCATAGTCATCTATCACTGAAGAATCTTTTTCCAAGCTTGGGGACTGCAGACTAATTTTATTCCTAGGGGGGAAAATCTTTCTATAACCAGTCAAAATCGTTTGCGGATTGAGACTGGGACAAACAGATTACTTTTTTTTTTCAATAAATAGAACTCGAGATCAAAAATTAATGAAGCACGAGAAAGATTTAGTGTAAGCGCTTTATTAAACAATTGTTTGGTTCACGATAATAAAGCATTATTGCCCAGGCGACTAAGAGAATGCAGCCAGAAAGTCGTTTGTAATCTACTTCAAAAGCATGAGAATATACACAGTTAATAATTTCTTGCTCGCAAGTAAATATACATTCAGATTGTACTCCACTGCAATCAAAAGCCACAGCGCTTTTTACAACCTGAATTGTTTGGTTATTTTTGAAAAAATAAAATGGATAAAGTCATCCCCTAAGTATATTATATAAATTAACAAACGTCAATAAAAATTTAGAGTCGGAACTCTTACAGATTTAATGAAGGCTGAAATTTTCATATGGCCACTCTACCTGACTGTCTCCAATCGAGAAAGACGTGTTGCTTCGAGGCTTAAAATAGTTGTAGCCGACATGGCCTTGATTTGTTTATCGATCGCTGTCGTTCAGTTTTTTTTTTTTTTTCGACACCCATTTGACACTTTATTCATTACAGCAATGCCTGCTAGGTAATTAGCAGAATTTAACTACTCTTCCATATCGCTGAGCTCAAAAGAAGCAGCAAGTCTTTCTATCGGGCATTAGATTTCTTGTCAAAAGAGGTACGTGAGTTGTCACATACACAATTTGAGATGTCAGTGTTTCGGCTCCAATGAACTGAAAAGTGCAGACTCCCTCAGCAAGCAAAGTTTTCCTGATTGTCATATAATCCTACCGAACAAAATGTCTTTCAAAATTTCGTGTTCATTTGTGGTTGGAGACCCTTTTTTCGGGTCAACAGTGATTGAGAAAATACCATATACTTTTATTTAAAAGCTGTACTCAGTTCACTGATAACGAGTGAAAACACAAGAAAATTGACGACAAAGAGTCTCATTTACGGAAGGAATTTTGAGAACATATCTTTAACTGATAGCACAGCGACTGTTTTGATTTCGTCCAAAATTGTTTCTCCGATCAGATGATTCCGATAAGGTTCGTAATGACGGAAATTGCCTAATTTTGTAGAAGCATCTGGGAAGATAACTGCTTTTCCAGTTAGCGGCACGTCTCCGATCATTTTACTATATAAACAGTAATTTCCTCGGTTAAATAACATTGTTTACTAATTTGGCTTGGTATAACCTCACAGATTCTTGATGCTTTGCGGTCAAACTGATTCAATGAGTTATTTTTCATTTTCCGAGAGGAAATCTTTGCGAAGACTAAATTCTCCCAAATGGAAGTGTGAAAAATGTATAGCAATAGCCAGAAGATTTTTGATGTTGAGCTTACCTTGAGTTGTGACGGAGGTTTGATGATGTAGCGGGTTTCCTTTCAAAGCGTAGCCTAATGGAGCACCAAGTCAAAACAAGATAACAAGCTGAGTAAAATACTCCAAGTCCTCTATCAAACTCTAACTCTTGCTTGATAATTTGTTAGGATTTCGTGATAAAGTAAGCGCTTTCAGTTAAAAAAAAAAAAAAAATTGGATATATGTTATTATGATAACAAACTGGGATGCACTTAGAAAACAAGTCCTCTAAATTTGCTCCCGTGTTTGAGGAAATGTATCGGGATAGTTCTTTTTAAAAGCCACCTGATATTTGCTAAATATCAAATATTGTTGAACGTGACTGATTGAAATCAGTACAGTTTTCGAGCTTGTTCATGAAGGCCTTTTTTTTACCAATCATTTAATAAAACCAGATAGACGACACAATTCAGTGTTGAGTTTTGATTCTTTTATCTCAGGAAAACCGGCTGGAGATATTCAGCTCTTCCTTACAGCCTGACTCGTGGTTGTACAAATAAACTACGCAGCACGCTTATATAAACTTCATAGGCACGCTATCAAATAAACGTGGAAACCTTTCAGAGATAGGATTTGATAAATGTCAAAATAACCTCGCGTATACTGAGTAATTTCAGTAAGCCAAAATCCTACATACTGCTACGGATTGACGTTTGGTTTATAAGTATTTAACAAGAGATCGCGGTGTACAGGCGGAAGATTATCTCAGTTCTAGATAGCTGCTAATCCATGTCAGTCTCATCCTGCTCTCCTCAAAGGAATTGGTTTTGTTTTTGGATTATCATACGACGACAGATTTTTCTAGTTCTTACAATATTTTTGATACAATTTTTGATACAGAAAAGAGAAGTTATGACTGCACCAACTGAATCAACTGAGAACACTAAAAGAAAGGAAACATCAAAGATTTAGGTTTAGTTAGAATTGAAGATTTGTAAGCGATAGAGGGTTAGATTTGTCTCAAATACAATAGAAAAAAAATTACGCCATAAACAGACAGAAGTTTTTTTGCTATATATTTTTATTCGCTTGTTTATCATTTTACAGTACAGTGTAACGTAAACAACGAGTGTGTTTTGAAAATGTCTCCAGCGTGTGGTTGAATTTTGGTTTTGTTATGTCGCAATTTGCTCATGTATCGACATGTAGACATCTTGCTACAAATACGTTTTCGCCCTGGATCTCTTATGGTCTTAAGACCTTCTTAGTTGTTCGCTGGCTTGTTTACTTTTTCTTTTGGCAACCCATTATAGATAACTCATGAACAACGATTTGATCATAAAATATTTTGTCAACTTGACTTGAGAGAGAACGGTGTTGTCGAAACTATTATCAAGTGAACAACTTCCCATTTCACTGAGACTCTCGAAAACACTAGTACCTTGATGACAACTACTTGCCCGCAAACAAAACCGAAATCTCCTTTGATTGCCACAACTCCTACACATTAAATATAAACCAGGGACAACGGATATGAGACATTTTTTTTCCCTGATTTCTGCTTTGAAATAAAATGTTGTCTCGGCAGTCTGTACAGAGGCGAAAACATCAATACATTTCATTTGATTGACTTGAATTACAAACAACCGCGACGCGGCTTAAAAAGCTGGTTTAATTTTGATTTTGCAATTCTAGATGATAACACTTTTTCTGACCGAGATCAATTTAAATAGCCAGTGTTTGTTCGATTTTTCTTGACATCAGTTTCTGAAAGGTTATTCATTCAAACTCAAATTTTGGGTTTCTCGTAGAAACGTAATATTGAAACATTTCTACTTGTACTTCTGCTGTTCATTGTCTCTTAGAAGGAACTCTACAGTTCTACTTTTCAAGCTAATATATATGACAATCATCGATCACCAAGGAGTCTTTCGATGCTAAACTTCAAACCACAAGTTGAAGAGTCATCACATTTTGCATCCATAGCCATATTTTGTTCGTCAGGAAAGGTCGAGTGTCTTTGGTTTTGTAGTTGCGAAAAACAACGCTGTTTTTCGAACGAACTTTCATGACAAAGTTCATTGTCAGAAGTCTCCAATTTCTTGTCTTCTCTGTCGCGATCGTAACTCGAACTTGCACTGTTGACGGTTTTCTCGCTTTGCTCTTCTGTCTCTTCGACGTGCTCTTCTCTAGGAGAACTCGGGGAAGTGTCTTCTTCTCGTTGTCTCGCACTGACTATTTGTTTCGGCCTTCGTTTTCGCCTCCAAAATCGCCCCTCTTCAAACATCTCCTCAAAGGACGAATCCAGAGTCCAGTAGCAGCCTTTTCCAGGATCCGATTTGTCGCGGGGAACTTTCACAAAGCACTTGTTCAACGAGAGATTGTGCCGAATACTATTTTGCCAACCTCTTCTGCTCTGCTGGTAGTACGGAAAGTTCATCATAATAAACTGGTAAATCCCGCTTAGTGTAACTTTTTTCTCCGGCGAGTTCTTGATGGCCATGGATATGAGAGCAACGTAAGAGTATGGTGGTTTGGGGAGCATTTCCGCGCAACCATAAATCCCGAATCCTGAACCATAGCTCGAGTAGCTGCAACCTGAATTGTAATAGCAACAAGAACACAGGCCTTCGATCCCTTGTTGTCGAAATCTCTGCGTTGGTAGAGAGAGTTGTGTGTACGGTGAAAATCTCATTGCGGCGAATGTGTTGTACATGTTGGATTGTGTCCGATGAGCAGTGGGCTCACTGCTTATAAAGCCTTTGTTTGTAGTCGACGTAACGCCAATGCTCACCGTGGCATTCTCAGCCAACTTCAAAGCGGATATGGGTTTGGAGACGCCCTAGACCACCCAGGCTTGGATTGATTGTCCTGAGACTGGTGTCTCACTGTTTGTTTACAGTACAAGTTTAAGTGTTTTTGAGACCACACAGCTAAGTATTACTATTGTTTTAAACATGGACGGCAGTTTGAGCTCGGATTAGTGAATTTCTGATTATTTTGCTCGAATTCCAACAACTCATAGTGCTTAGAGTTTTATTTGAAAATTACGATTTCAGATAATGCAAATTATTGACATGCGATAACTTACGACGTTCAGAATAGAAAGGAAGAAACGTATGCGCGTTTGGAAGCGATCATCTGTTCGAAAATCCATTGCTCCATTATCTCTCGCCAGCAGATGGATAAATATTTACACGGGAAGTTTGTTTTAAGTCATTTGTAAGCATTTAAAGTCCGTGTTTAGTTTGGCGCCGTCAAAAATGTAAACTGTAGTAAATCTTCTTAGGGCAATCACTAGATCCATGTCTAACCGTGTGAAGATTTTGACCTATTTATTACGCAACAAAATACCACAATCTTTTTTTCCTGCCATTGTTCTTTTTCGTTCTCGTCAGATTCTTTTGGTAGAAATGAGAAGTTAGGAAATGAAATCGACAATTAAATTAGCCCAATTTGCCATATTGTGATCTGTCTGATAGTATCAGTGGCCTTGTGGCGCCGCGGAGTATGCTAAAACACAGAGACATTTTTCGATGGTCACAAAGGCCTATGTTAGATGAGATTAGAATATTGCTATGTGTATTAGTTTAAGATCTTATTGAAGCTCTGATTATGATCCTGATAAGTCGGAAGTTAATATGGCTTTTGAAGGCGAGCCGAGTGTAGATTGCCAATGTTCTGGTTCTCGTCTTTCAAAAAAATCTTTCCTGTTATTTGGAGGTCAGGTCCACCAAAAAAAAAACATTACGTTTGTTTTTTCAACTGGATTGTATTGAAAACCGAGGAAAAGTGGACCGTGGGAACGAGGATGAGTTTAAAAAAAATCGCCTATGCTGAAAAGTAAAAAACTAGCCGGTGCGAGTCTTCAGTCAACACGTTTTCAAATCTTGCCTCGGATCTGGAGTAACACCGAATTGAAAAGCGTATAATTATTCATTTTCTGTCTAGTTGAACAGCTTTTTCGTGCTGATAATTAAGAAATTTGTTTTCATAAACTCGATTTTCTTTTTTGAGGTCACGCAAAAACACGACCTTTTCGAAGTCAAGTGTTTTAATTCAACAATAAATAAACTGTCGGCAACTTTGGTTTGACTTCGGTGAGGACAGCTTTTATTGAGCTTAACAGATCGGAGAACTTCAAACGACCTTTTTGCGCCATAAATAGGATTGATTGGATCTAGTGAAGAATAATTAATTGTAAGAGAGTGAGTAATGATCGTTGAGTTTGTTTTGATTTCTTAATGTCCTCAAAACGTGTTTGAACGTGTGAAAGATGATATACCGCTTGACGCCTTTTTTACAGGCGAGTTACTTGACACTTAAAATGAACTGGTAGAAATTGTTCTTTCTAAGTTTTCGCAGTTGTTTTACTCCGTTATTTTGTTCAACCAAATTTCGTGACTTTTTGTGTTACTTTTCATTAATATTCTGTGGTACATTTTTCAAACGACGGATACACTTTGCTAAATGTTAAAATTGTTCATAAAATAAGGTCACTTAAAAGTATCCTCAGAAAGGCCTATCTCATGTGCGCACCAAAAACAGCCCTCTTTGGCCCCTTCAGGCCCTTACTCAGTGATTGCGTGTGAAAAAACGGGCGAACGACAAACAGCCATCATGGTTATCAGGGGAACGACTACGGTTTACTTTTGTTCTTTGCCTGATTCCCGCCATTTTACATGAACCCGTTTTGGGCTCGTCTGCATATGCTCCCTTTGAGACTGTAGAAAAAGAGAGTAAGACTGGGGAAAGACTTGCGAAGCTAGTGCGACAGTCTGCGCGATTCGGCTGGAATTCACTCTTCTTTCTCTACGTGCCTCACATATGGGCTTCACGGGCTTTTGGAAAAAAAGAACTCGTTCCCAGTAGCAGTCCAGTCATGCCCTTTTATGGGCAGAGGGAAATGATACGTTTACCTCGAAATGACTGAAAAAAAAATTTGGTTGTGTCATTCTAAAGCTGAAACAGAGTGATACTAAAGCTAAAGGAGGTAAGTATTGTTTTTTAAGCACGTCGATTGGCTGGTTCGGAAGTTGCGCATACGTAGTTACTGCTTATTGTTCATCTAGGAGTAGAAAGAGAGGCTCTACTACTGTGAATATATGAAAGACATATATTTGAACTGCGGATAAAGACGTGAATATGAAAGCAATCTTCGCAGTAATCAACACCACTTGAGTAGTTGTGAAAATAAGCCACTGATTTAGTTCACGAATTCTCCGTGGAAACAGCCCAACGATTACCTTGCATGTGAGATGTTTTTATTTTTCTTGTGCCTAGTTTTCTGCTTGGAGGTAACCAATCCGAAACCATGGCAGACTGCTGTTAACGAAAACGTTAAATAACCCAATTTGTTTCGGTAAACATGATTATTCTTCGTTTAAATCCCGTGCAGGCCTAAATTTTTTTTGAGGCCTTATTTTCACTACTGCTCAAGTAATGTTCATTACTGCGAAGATCGCTTTCATATTCAAGAGACTCTACTGTGCAACACTGAGAATGATCCAAACCCGATTGGAAGAAGAGAATGGTAAGGTGAAATGGTTATAAAAACTTTTTGGTATCGAGAAGTTCTTTTGTGAGAACAATTCAGCATTGCTCAATTGAAGGTTGCCACTCACTCTTCTGTCAGGTCTTTGAAATTTCGGAATTTTCTAAGACCTGACACTTAGGGCGTCCATTGCAGTTAGCCTGCATTTTTAGTTTTTGGCTCACATTCTTGTCCCCACTTGGTCTGTCTTTGTCCTGATACTGAACGAACAAAACTGTCAGTGGACTAGATGCCTTTTAAAAGGTTTCATTTTGATTCGTTTTTCTAATAGTTTATCTTGCAATTCTTCAGGTCGTAGAGGCTAATCCCAGCAGCGATTAGTTGTAACCAACTGAGCGCCTATCACAGGCCACTTAGACAGAGGAACAAGTCGGTAGGTTGGAGAGGAGTGGCCGGCTAAAGGCGTAAGGAGATGCAGAATGAGGGAAAAAGGATGGAAGCATGGGGAAAAACTAGAAGGAAAAATAAATGATGAGAGAAATGTTAAACGGGAACATGAGCAAGTACATTCAATGGTTTGCTACTCTGTCTACTGTTCGGTCAACAGTGCCTTGACTCTACCCTTAATTGGTTCCATTCAGCGGGCGAAATTAGAGGAATTCAGCGAAAGAACGCTGAAATCTAGCATTCCCTCTCCGTTCAGGCTCTCTCAGCATGGAGCTCTCGTTACACCCTGGTTATAATTCATCGCTACCAATTGTGTGAATTATTTTGCACAGAGCTTAAAAAGACAGCGAGGGAACCGAACCATCCATACGCGGTTTGCCCTGGAGCCTGGGGACAGATTTCTATAGAGGCTATATTTCGTTTAAGGTTACATGACCAATGTTAGGAAAGTGAAATCATGGCGGCTCTGGCGAGGTGTTCGTTTGGAAGGTTGCAGACAAAATGTTCCTTGATCTCGAGTTTAAGGTGTTCAAATTTACCAAAACGCTCTCAGGTGGTTAAGCCAATCCTATCCCTTGGAAGGTGTGTTCCATCTTTTTTTATAAGATTGTTGATATTAACGAAATGGGATGACTATGCTGTATTATGTAATATTATTGGGGTGTTTGGGACGAAATGCGCATTTTTATCTCGTTTCTTCTTTGAATTCCGTTTCTGTTGTCTCTCGAAATGTTTGGCCTTGTAGAACCTTCGTATTGAATCTACGTGGAAGCTATTTTGAAGCATAGGCAATCACTATCCTTGTAATTCTCAACGTAAGAAGACATCTTATATTGTAATTACGCAGGATTACGCGAAGCATGAGCCGTAATTTTTTTAAATTTGGCCTGATAATAGAAATTTTGTTTGACAAGATAATTTATTATGTATAGCTAATGGCTACCCCGCCTCTGTAGTTATCTGGATATTTCCATCACGTCTCTGTCTTTAACTCTCTAGTTACTTGAATTCCACTCTGTATGAGTTTACTTCATATCGGGTTGTTTGGTGTTTTTTTACAGCTTACAAGTGGCACATAGGGCATATTGTAGCCCTGCTAAGGAAACTTCAGATGAAGATTTAAAAAACCAGCCAATACGTTTTTCTACTTCAAGGGCACGGAGTATAACAGTTGGTCAAACGCTAGGAGAAAGAAAAAAGAGCACATCTATGGTGACAGTCTATGTGAGTCTTACAATCATGGTCATATTGACGTACATTATCTTCTTCCTGCCACCCTCTAAACAAGATGAAGAAGTATTGGATGTTCTAAATGCCAGCATGGTGGCAAATGAGCAGGACAAAGGACAGTGATGTGTAAGACTAACATGGCAGGAACAATTTCAGAGCAAAATGCCTGCAATCCCTGGCAAATATGTTTCAAAGAAAGGTTCCCTTGGCATTGGAAATATAAATTTGTGGCAGATAAGGTCACTCTCTGAGAATTCCATTCCAATGTTCTTTTTTCAGATGGTCTGGAAAATAAGTCATTATTAACCTTAACCAGACTTGAAATGTTCCTCTGGATCATGCAAGAGCCTCCAGGGCATTTGAGAATTTACACAATATGGAACAATAAACATATTGAAACGTTGTTGTTTGTAGAGAGAGGTTTTCTTGTCTCTCCCGGCTGATGTAATACATTTCATTGTTGTCTAGTGTTGAGAATTTGGTTTTACATTTATGCACCACTCCTAGTTGATGGTTTTCTAAATTTTCTTCACTTGTATTGCTCAGCCAAAGAAAAGGTTGCTATAAGAATCCAAACACACCTGAGTGGAATGGATAGCTCAAGCTTAAATTTGGTAGTAATAAATAATGTGCTGTCAAATCTGGTTTAACTCACCAAGAAAATACAGTAATAGTATTCAATTCCCAATTTAATTAAATACAAAAAAGTATAGCTACTGTAGTTACATTTTCAACTCATATGACCTAAAGCTTTGCTGTCCCATTTATAAAAAATCGTCTATAGTACATCAGGCTCTTTTTATAATTTTTCTTACAAATGAATTTTAAAATATTTATCTTGCATTGTTCTTTCAGTTAAAGGATTGTTTTCCAGAACACCATTATGTATGTAGAATAGAAACATCCTTAAAGATATTACATAACTCTCTCACTCTCATGTAACATGTAAATTCTCCTTATAATATCCATACATGAGCCAGCAAATGGGTAATGAGAATTATCAAATGTATCAGGCAGAGTTTGTTATCTTGATCTAACACCAAATTCTCATAACTCATTAAAACTCAAAGAAGTGGGTAGCAGCTGGAGGGGAGAATTGGCAATCAGATCTTGGGAGAGTTAAGGGATTATGGTAAATTGAGGTGAAAATGTCAACATAAATAAGGACATTTATACTAAAATAAATTGTTAGGATAACTGTTTCCTTTTTCAAACAGAGAAAAAAAAAATGAGAAGCAACAAATAAATTATTTAAAAGATTTATGAATGAAAAAAGTTATTTTACACAATGGCATTTAAGGGCAAAGTGTAGTAAAAGTGTAGTAATAATTTGGAGCCAACCCTCTAGTTTTGGGTTATTTTAAAAGGATTTACAACAGAGCTGAAATTAATCTGCAAGGAATTGAGACTCAGCCTCGTAACTGTCTGGTTAATATACCAAATGGTTAGGGCAGGATTTTTACTGAATGGCGGGTGTGAGATGAAATCTGCAACAAGGTAAGAATTTACTGCCCATAACAACAAATGACTTTTTATGTTTAAAACTAAACTGAGTAGAACAGGGCAATTAAGTGATGTTAAATGAGTTGATAATGTTTATTGGCCACCATAAAGAGTTAAAAGCTGAATTTTTTAGCGTTAGCCCTTCGCTCTGACAAAGGGCTAGCACTCGAAACGTCAGCTTTTAAACTCTTTACAATGGCCAATTTACATTATCTACTCAGTTGATACCAATACTAAATTACTCTGTTCTACACTCCCACAGACACTGCACCACAGTTTCTTTATAAACTTGCCCCTTTATTCAACTGAGTATAATCTTGTAGTGACCAGGTGTATTGCAATTTTGAAGATTATGCTATATTTCGTTTATCATTGTTTATTTTTATGTAGAGTTTTTTCACCTTTAGAGTATGTTCTGAATATTTTCTCTTAAGCTAGAATCCTAAAAAGCAATGGAGAGTAACTGCAAGAAGGATCATCGCTTTCACACATTTTGAAGTTAGATTTATTTCTCCATATTTACCAAGAAAAGAAACTTAGATCTAACATGAGATATTTCATCAATGCGATTTTAGGAAATGTTGCATGACAAAGATCGCAGAAGAGATTATATTGCACCTGCCTGTTAACAATTTCCTCTTTTTTAGCACTAAACATATATTTTTAATTAGATCAAATCTTCTGAAAGAAAATTGTCTTCCATCTCGGAAAGATTGAACTAGTTTTTCTTAAATTTGAAAGGTTATTTTAAACCGGCATTTCACTGATCTATTACCGCTCGTGATTTTGTGTGTGCGTTGATCACTTTCGAACTTAGAATAGACAGAAGCCACGTAAACAGCGAGATGAAGTTGTTTTCTGCTGACGCAAAGCTGATTGGCTGAATCTACTGACGTCATGTTGGTGTTCCATTTAGCGCCGCCATTTTGAACATGGTAGTGTTTTGGTCCTGTGAGAGTTGTCATAATCCTGTCTTTTTCCGCGGTTTTACTTGAAATATGGAGTTGACCAGGCAGGTTTTTAGTAGCAGTGACAGAAAGTCGACCGATGGATACAGCATGTACAACATAAAAGGTAGGTGGGCAAGACTTGTTTGTATTCTGTAACGGTCGTAGCTTCCTTCAAATTCCAAGCGATACCTTTGTTCACTCGATCATATGGAGCGATAAATAAATTATGACTAAGCCAAGCGAAGATCAAAAAATCTTTCCAGGCGTGAAGTATGAATTTTACGAACTTTACTAGATCGATAATATTGTAAAAATGCAGCTAAGGAGATAAATTATTGCGTAGACTGCTTGGGTGATTTTAATATTGACACTCGTTTGACAACACACACAGATTTAGCCGGACATTCGTTGTTGCCAGAGGCACCGTCAGTAATTGTTCTGTTTCACGAGAGTATTGTATTTTTTCAATAGCGGTTTTCCTCAAAGTTAGGTTGTTTTGTTGTTCAACGGATTTGACTCTTACAACAAGGAAGTACATACATGCACGTACTAAAGCACTGAGGTTTATCTCTTATTAAATTATAACTCTATTAACTAAATATTCAGTCGCTAGTTGAGAGCTCGTGTACATGAAGGAGGCAATCTAATATTTCACTCACTGATTGAGTCATGTTATTGAAGGAAAAAATAGTTTTCAATCTTTTTTAAATCGGAAACACGTGTACACCAATTCTTAGCTCAATTATCCAACTTTCAGAATCAGTAGATATCAGTTAATGTAATTAACCACACAAATATTTGTTGAGGATTCACAAAAGAATTACTATGCCTCTCTAGTAACTTCTAACTACCAATGTAAATGCAATATCACACATTCTTAAGGATAGCACTTGACTGTTGAACATGCCCAAAATATTGTCCCTCCTGATATTACATTTTCTTGTGTTATTATTGTACGATTTCACGATATGTATTAAAGTTAACATGGCAACCAGATGGATAATAAGACATGGTTTGATGCTACTCTGGTGTAAAGATTTAGTGAGTGTAATTGAATAGTTACAATTCATAGACCCGATGTTTCGACACTCCTGTTTAGTGCCTTCATGACTGTGATCATGAGTATATTGGACAGACCAAATGTCAGTTTGGTACACATTTGAAAGAGCATAAAAAAGTGGTCTCCTTTTGCAAAAAAGAAAATACAGCTTTATCGGAGCACATATGCCTAACCAACCATACAATTGGGTGGGATAAGTCTAAAATTATCACCACTACCAGCGCCTTTGTTTGGAAGCGTGGCATATCAACTCCACCCACGCTCCTTTAAATCGTGATGATGGCAGCTTACTTCCTGACACCTATTTACACTTCATTGAAAAAAGGGCAGCTAATTAGTGAGCATAGAAAAGGACCTCTTGATGTAGCGTTTAGTTCATGAAATTTTTTTTTGCGAAGCAGACTAGAGTTTTTGGGGTTGATGAATAAGAAAATTTTGTTGTAATCATTTGTATAAATGTAAATGGAGCATCTGGATGCCTTGGTTATTAAATTTCACTAAATATACAAATATAAATTCACAATAGAGCTGAACCCAGTGAGGGCTGGCACAATATACATGCAGCTGCTATACACTTGCAGGGTTTGAGCCAGGCCGCGCCATTGCGCCAATCCCGCACTGCAATTGAAATTGACCCGTAAAAAAACGCTCAAGGGGACAATTTGTCCCCTTCAAAATTTAGGAGAAAAACTCGAAAGGAAGCACACACAAAGAGTTTTATCTCGGTACAGAAATTGCAAGCTAAAACAGAACGTGGAAAGTATATTTTCTTGCACGTTTAAAGTTCATTCTAAAGTCATGTTTCAGTCACACTTTACTGAACACGTATGTCTCATTCTCAACCAAAAGATCAAAAGCCGCCTTCACAATTACATTTTTCGCTGCCCTCAATCATAATTACGATCACAAGCAACGAACCTTGAAACACAGAAACACACGAAATGGATTGAAATCCACCAATCACAAATCACAAATCACAAACCATGACCTTTTGAACCCGTGAAAGTAAAGTTTTGTTTCCTAAGAGTTCCATTAAGATGATTGACGGCAGTGAAAAACGCAATTGTCAGTTGGCTTTTGAACTTCAAAATTTGCATGTTTGTGAAAAGCGCAGTAACATGTCACATCGAAAACGTGTTTGAACATTAGAAAGCTTTTTTGCTCGCAATCGAAGCCAGAGTGAATCAGAGAAAAATGACACAGAAGAAGAACAGTGTATTAATCAGGAAGAAACGAATGGGGATCGAAGGAAACCGAAAAAATCACGAACTTTCCTGAAAACTTGGTTGCGAGATCACACATGGTTGCACTATGAAAAAGAGGCGATGTTCTGCTATTTTTGTCGGAAATCTAAGAAGACAAACCCCTGTGCAACGGCAGAAGGGTGTACAAATTTTAGAACCTCAACTCTGTAGCAACTCTTTTCTACAGCCCTTGATGTTTGGGCTAGAACCAACTGAAGAATTAGTACATTTACGTTTACTAGTGATTAAGAAAGGAATTGAAGTTTACAAGGCGATGCTGGGACAAGATTCTGCTGTGTAATGTTTTGAAGTATAAAGCATAGTCATTGATCCTCTGTTTAAATATGACGAGAAAAAGAAATTTGACATCAATAACAACTTTTCTTTTTTGTATCACTTTTCTTGTATTACAAGTCTTACAAGGATCAGGTAAAAAAATTGTTTTTGTTGGCTTGCCTGTATGAATGTAAAAAAAGGAAATGTCAAATAAAAATTAATTTGTATGTCCCCCTAAAAATGAAAATGTCCTCCAAAAGTTTTGCTAAGGGGACAAATTGTCCCCCAGTGATCAAATACTAGCTCAAACCCTGCTCTTGAAAACAATCACAAAGAATGTTACTCTTTTATTTGAAATATATCCTATCCAAAAGAAGAGCTTATTATGTTAAAAAAAAAAAAAAAAAAAAAAAATTAGTCAAAGCAGTCATAGTTGGCCCCTTTACCTTTGTCTTGCTATACCACGAGATACACATGGCTTTTACATTCTTTTTCTATCCACTGCAATTTGTTGGGAGAGTTCTCACCCCTTTTACTCCCCAACATGTGTATGCAAGTTCCCTATACTGCTCTCTACATCCATTTCCCATGATACTTACTCGAAAAC